ATGTGCTATATCATTTTAAATATTTCTAATAGAAGATAATCTTAAACATTCTCAAACTAAAGTAGATATCTTTCTTCTTATAGATCAAACAAATGTGGCAAAGAAAGTTACGTTAACCGTTGTAAATGTACGTAACTCAAAGCGTAATTAATTTGATTGAAAAATATATATATAAATATTTATAAATATATATATATAAATATATATGTATATATATATATATATATATATATATTAAAGAATTAGTTTATTAAAATGAATGGATCCTTAGACTGTTTTTGCATGATTGGATATTCGTAAGATATTCTTTTCGTGCTTCTCAGCCTGATTCTTTGATCATTTTCACCTCGCTATAATAAATTAGATATTACGTATATATCAAGTTCATCGTTCATCGTTCATTTCTCGATTTTTAGGAGATACAAGAAAAAAAAAGTGTGATCATTGGAAGAAAATTTGTATGCAAAAAGGAATAGAATGATGTTCGTTGTTAGTTGATGTTCGATCTCAAACTTTGTGTTATTTTAATGTTAATGGAAATGAGAGAAAGGAAACAAGAAGAAAATATGTTACATGAAATTTGTTTCTGTTACAGTTTTTCCTAACGTGCCACCTGCGCCAGGAATGCCCTGTCAGGGAGAAGACAGTGAGTTTTCATCATCAAAACAAAACTCTCTAACATTACATTACTTACATACAATTTTCACTATTCAACGATTTTCAACATTATAGAAATAACTAGCCAGCGAGTTGTTCGATTAATAATAAAGATATAAGATTTAAGATTTTGTTCACGAAAAAGAGATGCGAGTAGCCTGGCTATAAATCGATATAATTCTTCATCGTTGAGAAAAGAGAAAAAGGGAACATTAAATTAAATGGGAATCGTTTTTTTCTCTATCTCTTTCTCTCTCTCTCTATCTCTCTCTCCTTCGTCTCAACGCTTATTCTTTTCGAATGTTTTATATTGCTGCATTTAAACTCAAGCAGATTCGTTTTAGTTTCTCATGAAACATCGATGATCTTTGCGTGCTTTTATTTTAATTTTTATCATTTACATACATAATGTAATTTATTACGTACAACTGGTCTTTAATTTATATGATAGAATTAATACGATGACAAATTTTCTTGATTGATTTTATGAATTCTGAAAGATTTTTCCCCGAAATGAATGATATTAAAATATTATCGATATCTGAATTTCACTCCCTTGCATTATTTTATTATTTCGTCATTTCGTAGAATAAAATTTAACAATAGGAGAGAAGAATATAGATAGAAAGTTTATCGATGAAAATATATGTTTTGAAATATTGCGATATCAGATTAATCTACACATAAAGAAATTTTTCTAAAACATCGATGATTTGTCATATGACTAATTAAATTATTGTATAAAGATATAAAAATACATGAACAATTATAAATGGATAATTTTATCATATCCCTTTCAAAAAAGAGAGAAACACTCCACGTGCTAATTAGAGAATATTACAATTTCTGAAACACTCTTGTCTTTTAAAATATCGTATAAATCAAGGATCAGTTAATATACTGATACAATCTATCGACAAAATTCAAAGAGAAGAAACGGAAAAACAATGATATAATATTTTCCATATTTCTGTTTCAAATATCGCGGGTCCCCGAAGATTAACTTGTTCTTATTGTGTTTACAAAATGTAGCTGTAGTATATTTCGCCCTTCTCATTATTACACGTATAGTTTTGTTAAACGGAGAAAGTATGGAGGAGTTTAGAACAATGGCAGTTTTACTGCAGATTTTTCATTGCGGTATTGGAATAGGAAAACATACTCATACTATTTTAATTTTAAGACGGGACACAAGTTTTCTTATTGTATAATTATAAACTGGCATTATTGCACCAAAGATATATATATTTTAATAGAAATGCGACGATTCATTCTCGATTAAATGTTAAGCATATGGTAACATTTCGGATGATGTAAGGAAAAAAAAAAAAAAAAAAAAAAAAAAAGGAAAAAAATAAACTAAGATAAGAAAGAAATAATGAAAAAAGTCAGGACAGATTTTTGAAGATCGATTGTCTGGTTCTTTCGTGATATTTATGTTTTTTCATTTTCCAAAGGAAGCATCTACAGACGCGGCGCACGTAGATGGAGGAAGCTGTACCGAGTGAATGGTCATATATTTCAAGCGAAACGTTTCAATCGGGTAAGCATCATTTCATTCAAGTTATTGCCCCCACTATTACCACGTTTTTTTCTTTTCCCTTCGTTTTTTTTTTTTTTTTTCTCTCTCTCCTTTGTTTTCATTTTTTGGCTCATCCAGTATTATTTTTTTCCATATATTTGCGCCAATCACGCACGTTACGTCATATCACCGTTCCAGACACAACAACATCATCTTACCCGTGGTGGATAGATTCCTGATCAAAGGAACTTGCTGGCTAGTGAACGTTAACGATCATTTTGTAGTAATTTATTCATTGAATGACAATTCTCCGTCAATCATCCGTCCCTTGAATGCTTAAGAATGAGAATGTTGTAGGTTCATGTTGTTTGAATGATTGTAGGTCATTTTCAAAGGTGAATGGTTAAGAATGTGAAAGTTACTGTTGGTTGAAGTTGGTTGATAACTTCACGTATAAATAGTAAGCTTATTATTTTATTATAAGTTATAAATTTTTTTTTTTAAAGAAGAAGAATAATTTATGAGAGTAAGAGTAATTTATATATTATTTAAACGAGAATAGAATATTTGTAGATATTTTGTGTACAAGTAAAATTCGGATATGGATACAGTAAGACTCTCGTATCGTAGCAAGTATGTTGCATAATAACAAATAATGATGGAATAGTAAATAATTTAAATATATATTAAATAATAACAAAAAAATAATAGATATTACATTATATATTTATAATATTTATATACGTATTTTTTATACATAATAATAATTTTTTAAATCAACAATGGATACAGAGTCTTATTGCAATGGTAATTTGATTAAAATCGAGAAAATTTTTCATTAATAAATAATAATAAATAAATTTTCTAGATATATATTTCAATAAAAATGCATTTAAAAATTCTGCATCGTTTAAATGTTAAAAACTATAAAATTTATACGGATAGGTTATTCGTAATAGGTTATTAAATCATTATTTAATATTTATTATAAAGTTTAAATCCAGAATTCTCATATGTTATTTGTAAAAGAATTTAGAAAAATAATAATTTTTAATTTAATTATTTTTGATATTTGATAATAAGTATAATAAATTATTTTTATTCTTTGAACAGGAGAAAGATTATATTTTCAATTACATTAATTTAATTCTTTCTTATTCTCAAGATTTCATACAATAGATTCATCGAGTTCTCAAGAATAAATATAAATAATTATTTTTATAATTAATTTCTTCTCTAACTTTCGTAGCGAGCGTTTTGCGCATTCTGCCAAGATCGGATTTGGGGGCTAGGTCGGCAGGGGTTCAAGTGCATTCAATGCAAACTTCTGGTACACAAGAAATGTCACAAGGTGGTGCGCAAGCCATGCTTGAGTGTACAACAACAACAGCAACAACAGATGCCAAGCACAGAATCGCAAACGATCGACAGGAACGGCGATCAACAACAGCTTGATTCTGTCCAATGCAGCCCCGTAGCTCATCTCGAGGATGAGATCTCAGAATCGGCAATTATCGAGGAGCATTCACGCAATCGTAAGAACATTCGGATATTTATCCGAAAAATTTTGAAAAGAAAATAAAATTTGATAAATTTCTTTTTACCATTAATTATGAAAAAAAAAAATTAAAAATTAACCAATTAATAAAAAGAGAATTATTTTTAATAAAATTTAATAATGTTTATTATTCAAAAAATATTGAATTAATGAAATATAATTAAAAATATAACTAAATCTGATATTGATGTTCTAAATTAAAATATGTTTTGTAGGAACCGGAAGTGAAGAAAGGGAGGAATTGCCACTGGATACATTAAACGATGCAGATAATTCAAATGATATGCAGAGGCAATACTCGTTAAATGATTTCGAACTGATTAGGGTAATCGGTCGTGGTTCCTACGCGAAAGTTTTGATGGTAGAGTTAAAACGTACAAAAAGGATTTATGCAATGAAAGTAATTAAAAAAGCCTTAGTAACGGACGACGAAGACATCGATTGGGTTCAAACGGAGAAACACGTGTTCGAAACCGCCTCGAATCATCCTTTCCTTGTGGGACTTCACTCATGCTTTCAGACGCCTTCTCGTCTATTCTTCGTAATCGAGTTCGTACGTGGCGGAGATTTGATGTTCCATATGCAGAGACAACGCCGTCTTCCTGAGGAGCATGCTCGATTTTATGCAGCTGAAATCAGTCTTGCTTTAAACTTTTTACACGAGAAAGGTAAAAGAATAAAAGAAATAATATCTTTGAAAAGAACAAAAGATAATTATTCTATCAAACGTAAAATGATAAAAATATATAGTAAAATGAGAGTATATTGATTCATAATTTTTTTGTATAGGTATTATATACAGAGATTTAAAGTTGGATAATGTATTACTTGATCACGAAGGACACGTAAAATTAACTGATTACGGAATGTGTAAAGAAGGCGTTAGAGAGGGTGACACAACCGCTACATTTTGTGGCACTCCGAATTATATTGCACCCGAAATATTGAGGGGTGAAGATTATAGCTTCTCTGTAGATTGGTGGGCGCTTGGTGTACTTCTGTATGAAATGCTTGCAGGTCGTAGCCCGTTCGATATCGCGGGCGCATCAGAAAATCCAGATCAAAATACCGAAGATTATCTGTTTCAAGTTATTTTACAGAAGACAATTCGTATACCAAGATCATTATCGGTCAAAGCAGCATCAGTTCTTAAAGGTTTCCTCTGCAAAGATCCAAATGAAAGATTAGGCTGTGGCAAGAGACCAACTGCTTTTCTTGATATTGTTGCCCATCCCTTTTTCAAAGCCATAGATTGGGAAATGGTAATTAATTTCTCTAATTACATACAAAATATTAGAATATTAGAATAATTGTATTATAAAATACATAGTTGATGAATGATATAATGAAAAGATAAGAATAATTATAAGAAGTTAATCGTAATGCTTATAATACTCTTGTAATGTGTAATATAACTAAAAAATTAAATTGAATCTTTTTGCTTATTGTCATTTATTAATGTGATAATAGATAAAAATGTAATTATAATTTAATCTAATGGAAATATTATTTTTCAATGTGTAAATTTCATGATGAGAATCTTAAGTAGTTTGTTATATTTTTATTGAATAATTATTATTTAATATGATAAAAGATACTAATTAGATAGATCAAGATATATATTTTGTATTATCAAATATTATTAATAAATTTTCAGTTAGAACAAAAACAAGTAACACCGCCATACAAACCAAGATTAGATTCTGATCGTGATTTGGCCAATTTCCCACCAGAATTTACAGATGAACCAGTACATTTAACACCAGATGATCCGTAAGTTTTATTAAAAAGATTTATCAATTTATTCTAATATTTTAGAGCAAAAATAAACAAATAAAATGTTAAATAATTATTTTCAATTAAATTTAAAATTGTTGAAACAAATTGTTTCTTGAAAATATACAATTTAATTTTATTGAATTTTTCTAAGTAAATATTTATATAAATTATTATATATACTATATAGTAAATAAATTTACTATAAATATTAATTTTTAATTTTAATTCAGATGAGTCTTATATTTATTTTATATAAGATTTAATAATTGGTTTAATAGTTTAGTTTATTTAATTATTTAGTTTTTTAAGAAAATTATTAGTAAAATTGTTAGAAAATTGTTAATTTGAAATATTTTATTTAAAATTTTTTATTATAAAATATTTTATGTTACAAGCTTTTTTAAATCTCTACTTCTTTAAATTCTAATTCTCTAATTTTTTAAATTTATTTTTTATTTAGAATAAAATATATTTTCCTAATAAAATTGAAATTTCCTAATAAAATAATTATGTAATTTAAAAACAATAAATATTTTCCAGGAGAGTGATTGACAAAATCGATCAAAGTGAATTCGAGGGCTTCGAATATGTGAACCCGTTACTTATGTCTTTGGAAGACTGCGTGTGACAAGAACCGCTTGTTATTGTGCCACGTCACACTCAAAATCAGCAACAATTACATTCGTGTTATATGTATGAATTACAAGATAAATTTGCGAAACTCCGAATCGATCCCCTTTTAAATATCAGCTCAAGAAATCGAGGTTATCATAACAATGTTTTTTTAATGACATATTCTGAAGAGAATGAGAACGACAATAATTATAACGAATATCGGTTATCACCACCTTTTCCATTTCGATACGAAAATCCGATATGCTCCAGTTCTCTAAGTATCACAGACGTGACGTACGGCTTTAGCAATAATAATGAGATCATTAGTAACTATGATGAACACAATTATGACGATGAGAAAGATGAAAGTCCGAAGAAAGGACTCTTAAAGCAAATGTTTTGCCTTCCATTAAATTAAGCTAAATAAGGCTTATTTAATATTACGAGATTGCCTCTAATCAATAGTTAATATAAATTTTGTAGATTGCAAGAGATTTGTAACCTGCAACGGTTAAAGTTTACAGAATCCTTGTATTAAGTATTGGACGAAAAAGTATTTAATTTGCGCCACATATTATATATGAATCGTGTTGAACTCTTCTTTCACATGGTGCTGCAACTTAAACGTATTAATGGGTATTATTTCCAGCTATTTTTAGAAGAGAAATTAATTAAAATGGAAAATGTACCTGACTGCTTCGATTAATCTCGTAGATAATATGTCATTCCGTTGCGCAGTCGTTCTATTAATATTTACAAGCATTGTATGATCTACTATATTGCTTGCATGAATGTATTCACTAAAAACCATAGCAACAAAATATTTCTAACGAACTTATATCTATTTAAAAAAAATATTGTATATTATAGATTAATTACGTTTGAAAAAAATACTATACGTATAGTATTTTAAATATATATATATAGCAAAAAAGTAGGTATACAGTTTCTAAAAAAATTAATTTTGTTTTGTACATTTTTTTTCTTTTATAAATATATATATGAACGATTTAAAACTATGATATATTAGTGAAAAACTTTTAAAAAGAAATTGTTGATCACAATGTATATTATATTAAAAAGAAAAAAAGAAATTATAATCACATCACAATATAGTATTATACATTTTATCGGATATTTTTTTTTGTATCAAGGATGTGAAAGATATACAGTAAATGACTTTGGTATAAAGATTTTTCTTACAAATAAAATTATATATCGTATTTACAAATTTGTTAGCCTCTTTTTAATTGAAATATATATAAAATACATGTACGAACAACATATATTTATTTGTACTTTATAATTTATTTAAATTATGAAAATATGTCATAAAATGTTAAAATTGCACAAAATGATAAATATTTTTTTTCATTTTAAGTAATCTAATTTCATTAGATTAAAGTGAAATTAATAATTTTAATTTCACTGGATTAAATTTTCCAGTTTCTATTATTACTTCCATATTTTTAGTATTGTTTTTATAATTACGTATTATTTTTATAAATCTATATTCATAATGATATAAAATAAAGATCTTCCATACTGCCATATTTTTTTTATATTTATTGCAATTTATTACTTTCATAAAAAGAATAAATTCAATATATATTACTACTTTGTTAACTTCTTAAAATATACTTATAAAATATAATAAACAAGATTAAAAACAAAATAAAATTAATTTCTAATTAATATATATGTATGATTTGATTTTGTGCAATTTTGCATTATTACTTTATATTTTAAAAATGCTTAATGTTCATTTTTTATTAATATATTGATTAACTTTTTATTTTTAATTTTTTCTTTTATTTATACATTATACCAAAATTATTTACTGCTGATAATTGTTCGCTCCTGTGATTATTATTATATATATAAAGAGACGTTAAAATATCTTGGAAAAAATAGAAGATTATGAAGATTTAATATAAAAATTAAGATAATCTAAAAGAAATTTAGAATAAGGATACACACGAAAATGAAATTACCAAAATGTTATATAAAAAACGTTTCAGAAATAATTAATAATTTTTCTTAAATTTAAACATGCCAGATATGTATACTATACTATGCAGAGTGAGACATTTTAATTCTTATAAGTTTCAATTAAGGTAATTAAATTGAATTAATTAAATTAAAATAAAAATTTTATGTTGAACAATGAATTGTTCAGTGAATTGTTCTTATTTTTAAAAATATAATATTTATCTTTTATTTAGATTAAAGAATATCATTTATAATAGATATACAACAAAAACAATTATATTTGTTTTTCCTAAATTTATTATAATGAAATTAAATTATCTCTGCATCTAATATTCTTCTTTCGCAATATCACCTTTCATTATGTTTATTTTAAGAGTAATAACATATATTTTATCTATATTATTTCAATACAAATATTGTAATCAGTGTCTTCATATATACATCATATAGATATCTATTTATTATATAATTAATTAAAAATCAATTATTTATAATATAATAACGCTTAATAAGAATTTTAATAATTAAATAATTCAGGTTATTTTTTGTAATTAAAATATCCAATTAAACAAGTGATTTATATAATTCAAAACAGAAAAAGATATAATATTATAAATAGATTTTAACTAACATAACTTAATGTTATATGTATATTTTTTTAATAAAGAATGCAATAATTAGGAAAACACATCTGTAGATTTTAACTATTAAAATTTTAGTTTTACAAATTTTAATTATTTTATCACATATTTAGTTACAAATGTAGAAAATGAGTTTTACTTTACTTGAATAGTTTTTTTTTTCTAAATAGTATAAAAATATAAATAAATTTAAATTTCATGATTTTTTGCATGACTTATATTTTTATATTAAGTTTATAATTATACTTATTTAATGAATATTAAAATATAATTATAATAATTCAATAAGCTTAAATTATTTTTAATATTAATTTTAAATATTAATTAATTGTTGAATAGTAGTTATTTTAATGAATATAATTCCAAATATTATTTTATAATTAAGTGTATAAATAACAATATTTTATTCGTAAATCATTTTTTTATCATATATATGGTATATATGGTATATATATAATTTTTTTTATCATATATTATATATATATCATATATATAGGAAAATGCATATTATTTTAGTATCTATGTTAGTATCTAATAATATGTTAATAATCATTATAAGTTATATTTTATATATATCTTATCGTTATTTTATCCTATTATTCAAATAGATTTTTTTTTTAATAAACTTGAATAATTTAACAAATTTTATTATTATTTATACTTAATTATAAACATTATATATAAATATGCTTATATGTTCTTAATAACAAAGTATTATTTTAAAGATATATATCTATTCGCATAAAAATAAAACATATCAATAAAAATTTTAAAAACAAAAATTTCTTACATATGAGAATGAAATGTACAATATATACTCCATTAAATATGTAATGTATTTGCATATTCAATGAAAATGAAAATATATCTTCAAATTAATATGTAAAATAAAAGCAAATTTTACGTATTTATATAACTGTTATTAATTATTTTTATTCAATATATTCAATTATAAATTTAAATTTTTTTAATTATCATTTTACATTTATTTACATTTAAAAAATATAACAATATATAGATGCTAGTTTTATAAAGAAAAATAAGATAATAAGCGTTATTAAAAATATAATTTTATTGCTTATATTTTAAGTGCCTCGCCCTGTATACTAAATGTATATATATTTATGCATGTAAATAATTTAAAAAGAATATTGTACTTCATTTAAGTGTTTCATTTTAAACATTGTAACTATTTTACAAAGTAATATTATCATTATTATTACTTTATATTATTATTATTCAAAATAATAGCATTATTTTCGTTGCAATTTTGTTGTTGAAACAAAATTTAATCAGAAATAAAAATTATTATTTATCATTTTTCACATTGCAATTATTTATATTTTATCTATAATTAATTTTTTATTATTTGATTAATATTTTGTTTTACAACAAAAATTCTTTTTCGTGTGTTAGAAAATGTTCCATACGGCAGTTCCAAGAGTTAAAAAAAAGTATATTAAACAATGATGGCTTTTGCTGCAAATAAAGACTATGAAAATAAAATTATAGAACTATGTTATTTAAATATTCTATTGTTAGCGCTCAAAGTGAAAAGAGAATGCTTGTTATCATTTATAATATATATGTATATGTATATATGAGAGGAATTTTACAATGTATGCCTTGTTGTTCAAAATTCAGTTTTATGCTAAAATTGTCTTTGGTCGAAAAACGAGTTTGTATATTGATGTAATTATTAATCTGAATTAATAACATTCGAAAAATATTTGATGATCGATTAAAATATAATCAGAATGCAAATATTGTGTAGTAAATTTTGTTTTTATGATAAAGTGATCAAATAATTAGTTATATAATCTAAACTAAAATGAAAGTTTTGTATAGTATACTTTGTTTACAACATTACAACAAAAAATATAAATAAGTAAACCAAACACGTATATAATAAATAGAAGTGAATTAATTTTTTCGATTATTGAATATTGAATGAATGACTGATAAATCAATTTAAATAATTCCTTTCATTTTTATAACGATAATGTAGCGATATTAATAATACTAATAATTTATTAACATTTATTTTAAATTGTATTGAAATGTTATTATTTATGACAATATCTTAATAAGATTTTTATAAATTTTAACTTATATTAATATTAACTTACTTTTCGTAGAGTCTAAATGTTATCATTTATCCAACATGCATATACTGTATAAATAAATTTTAATAATATAATTTTAAATCATGCGTTGTTAACTCATGTTATTCAAATAATATTGAATATTTGAGTTTTTAAAAATTATGAATAAAATATCTTAAAAATGAAAGTTATTTATATTCTTTTAAAGAAAATAACAATAGAAATATTAAAATTATATATTACTTTATCGAAATTTTTAAAATTGAATATTTGAATGTTTAATTATATATAAATATATATTTTTATATTTTATATATTTTTTATATATAAATATATATTTTTCAATCTAATTGATCTTTCTATTGTTAACTCATTCAATTTTATTGTTATTTTCGATCTTTTTATATTTAATATTATATCATATTAACATTAACATTACTTTTTTTATAATAATAAAAATTTTTTTCATAAAATTTTCGAAAACAAAAATTATTAAAAATATATCATTTTTTTCTTTCTTTATCAAGTATTTCTTTATCAAGATATCGCATTAATATAATACATGTAACGGATTTTGCTCATAAAAAACCAATAAGTCTAATATAGGTTTGAATATAACTGATATCGAAGTCGGTCCCCATAAAAAATCATAATGAGAGAATGATTTAATGGATATTTCTTTATGGAATATAAGATTACCAAGTTTATTTTTCAAAAGATTAACATCCTAGAAAGAAATAAAACTTTTTCTTTAAATATTACTTAAAAATAATAAATATTTGAATTACATATATCTATCATGAATTATCATGTTTATTATATAAAATAATTGTATTACCGTTTTTGTTGCAAGTAGATCATCGTTACTGCTGAAAAGAGCAATTGGTGCAATTATTTTGTTCAATTCGTATTCTGGTGGTTGTACAGAATTGTATATTCGATAATTTTTTTCATCGTTACCATAATCAAATTGTCGAAAATTGTCTAAAATTAATAATTATTAATTTTTTTATCGTTATTATTATTGTTATTTATAATTATATAAATATCTACCTGGATATATATATCCTTGACCAAAATGAACTAATTGTTTCCAAGAAGCACCTGCCGGAACATGATTCATAATCGATGTCAAATTCATCTAAATAAACCAAATTTGAAAAATATTATACAAATGTATAAATTTGTTTTTTTTTTTTTTATATAAGTTTAAGTATACAATTTAATTCATATTAATTTGAAAATTAAAAATTATTCTGTAATAATAAAAGATAAAAACAAATAAAAATTATCGATTTATCTGATATTAAAAAAATTATAGGAAATTTTTTTTTCCAAAATTCAATTTAAATTAATTAATCAGTCATTAAATTTTACCATTAATTTTTTTAATTCATATTTACGAAAAAATTTAACATCCTAACTTTATTTTTTTTTTTTTTGACAATTACTGAAATAATTTGTCAAAATAATTTTTTCAAATCTTTTAATAATATTCCATTATAAAAAATAAAAATAAAGAGAAGATTAAAAATAAGAGAAGATTAATCGCTTTTTTTTACCGCACTCAAATTTGTTTGATTAAAACCAGTGACCAAGAATAGAATGTTATTGCAAAACAGTTGAATTGATGCATCTTGACAAAATATACTCGAGACAAACTTTTCCCAAATAGATTTTGAACGCATTTCAGGATAACCGAAAACTTCACCTATCCGCTGTAATATAAATAAATTTTTTTTTATATTAATTATAAATAACTTGTCATAAATTTCAATCATGAAAGTAACGGAAATTATTCCAGGGTAAAATAAATTTATTATTTTCAAGAAAAAATTTACATATACTTAGTTGTAATCGTTTTAATGAGTCAAAATATAACACTGGTAAAGAAAAAGTATAACACATCGTGAATAATGATTTGTAGCACGGTCAATAGATTGTAAAATCTTAATTGTCTGTACACTGTAAAGTAGAACGAGTACTATGAACGAGCACTTTAAAAAACAAATATTATTGTTACTTTAAATATTCAAATCGAGTTTCTTCAATAATTTATTAATATTATTTTTTTTAATTTTCTCTCTTTTTTAATTTATCTTTACATTTTTTTTTT